CTCCCGCGTGGGGCCAACGCGCCCGCCCCCAGGGCGGTGTTTGCGCTACATGCGTATTTTACGTACCGTCTCTCCGCCGCTGGCTCCTTCCGTACTCCAAGTGCGTGGATCGGCGCCCCGTTTACACACTTTTCTCCGCAAGTCTCTGCTTGGCCGGGTCTTCCGTTACGCAAATCGCGTATGTCCAGACCACCCACCTGTGGCAACGCTACAACTACCATCCCTTCCTCACAGCCATTGAGGCCTCAGAGCGTGCAGCCGGCTGTGGGGGGAAGGGCTTCAGGTTAGTCCTGCATCCTGTGAGGCACGAACCCGCTTCCCTCACCTCCTCCACACACGCACCCTCCGGCTCGGGCTCAGGGCAGCGCTCCACGTGCCGTGAGCTCTTGAGGACGAGCGCGAAGGGGACACTCGCCACCGCACAGCCCGCGAGGTGACGCCTGGCCAGAGGTACCCTCACCAGCCAGCAGACACGCGTGAAGGGGAAAGCAGACCGTCGTGTTACACCAGTGGTGACGTGCGGTTGCTGGCAGCTTCCAAAGCCCGGCAGGTATTGAAGAGACACAGAGCGGCGTGCCGTGAGCTCTTGAGGACGAGCGCGAAGGGGACACTCGCCACCGCACAGCCCGCGAGGTGACGCCTGGCCAGAGGTACCCTCACCAGCCAGCAGACACGCGTGAAGGGGAAAGCAGACCGTCGTGTTACACCAGTGGTGACGTGCGGTTGCTGGCAGCTTCCAAAGCCCGGCAGGTATTGAAGAGACACAGAGCGGCAGCGGTACAGCGGTGACAGTGGAGGATCAGTGCAGTTTGTGAGCGCAAGCGTAACAGGAGCTTGGGGCTGTTGTGTTGTCTCAGTGGCCAGCTGCCCAAGTGGTCCTACTCACACCTGTGAGGAGGACCCAGGCCACTGAGTGGCAAGCGACAGCCAAAACCAGTTTGAGTCCGTTGAGCCTCTGAAGAAGCGTGATTGAAGACAACTCTTACTGGCTGTGCAGCGTTGAGAACAAGCGCAAAGGCGAGTCTGGTGTGTCGGCTCTTACAAGTGATACAGGATAGGTAAAAAGAAGATGTCAGGTCGTCGCGTTGCTGCAGCATGTGATAGACGACAGCTCCCACGGGGCATGGGTAGCATGGCATCCCCCCTCCTTGACCCGCGTCCACTTCGACTTCCGTTTCTTGAGGCTGACGTGAGTAGGACTCTTGGGAGGGTGGTGTTTGTACGCTTGGGACAGGCTCTCAGCCTGCTGAGAGCCCGTCAAGTGTGGCAGCGTGAGGTGCTTGTTACTGTGCTGCCCAAGTTGTCGAACTCATCAGAGAGGCCTGCAGCACAGAGCAGCAATGCCAGAAACTTTGTTATTTTAGCCCCTGTGGATGTCCCCGTGCTTGGGATACTGGTGTCCCAGCAGAAGCAGCGTTTCAGAGCTGTGCAGCTGGGACGCTAAAGAATCCTGGCCCCGGGTCTCCTGAGACGAGGCACCCTCCTGCTAAGACCCGGCCCTGAGCTCCAGGGGGCTCCCCCACGCAGGTCACCTAGGCCTGCCTCCCGCATCCCACCCGGGAACACTGCTGCGCCTTCTCCCGGCGGGGCGCTGCCCTCCGCGGGGCGGGTCGCGCTAGACGCCGCCGAGGGGCCCCCCCCCACCGAGGGCGCTCGGGGCGCGCTTGGCGCGTCACCGCTCACGTGACGGAGGGACCTGCCAGTGCCCGGGCGCGCGCGTGGTGTCACTGTCACGTGATGCTGCAATTCTCTCCTTCAAGAGTCGCCTCCAATCGATTTGCGGGCGCTCGATGCAGCAGCCTTCGCGGAGGAGCATTCTTCGCTCTCGGCCGCCGCCGCCACCTCCTCCCCTGCCGCCGCCGCCGCCAATCGATGCGCTCAGGGCTCCGGTCGCCATTTTAGGGGGAGAGCGAGGGAGGCAGAAGGAAGGGTCGGTAGGTACCGGCGCTGCTCTGGGCGCTCCCTTGCTTTCGTCTCCGCTGCCTTGGCCGGGTTTCGTCCTCTGCAGCTCCCACCCGAAGCTGCCTGTCCGCCCCCGGTGTCTGAAGCCTGCTCCCTGTGACCGCTGTGCTCCGGCTGAGCACTCTCCCCGCCCTCATTCAGTCCCTTTCCCCCACGCCCCCTCCCTGTCTGGTTATTGGTCCCCGAAATTGGTTATTGGTCTTATTACTCGAGGCTGGGAGAGGGTGTAGAGGGCGAAGAGAAGCGTGTGCTGGCTGGGAGGAGGTGTGGAGAGGATGTGAAAGCCTCGGATGAAAGGGGGGAGCGTATGTGTTAGGGTGGCTAATGTGCAGGGAAGTCAAAATGCTCTCTGTTAATCATCTTCCTAGCTCTGCGTGCCCAGGTCCCCCTGTCTGCTGGTGTTAGCGAGGCTAAATGAAAGACACTGACAGGATAGTTTTGCTAACTAATGCTGTGATTTTTTTTCACCGCATCATTTTCTTTATTGCTCTTTAATATGGTTAACGTTTACTTAATGGCAATGTTTTCATTTCTGCAGCAAATAAGTGCAACAGATTTCTTATGTTTTCCTATATTTTTTAATTTTGTCTATTTAATACTGAATCTTACCTGAAACATGATAGCATTAGCTATGATCTCCTACTGTGAAGCTCAGCAGGAGGTACTTTATGCAACGGTCATAGTTGTTATATGTAATGCTCTTGTATGTGATTTTTCTCTTGTATTTGTTTATTTCAGGCCCCTCCAAGGCATTCCTTGCTAACAATGTATAGAACAAAAGTCAGCTTGAAAGATCGTCAGCAACTTTATAAACTAATCATTAGTCAGCTGCTATATGATGGGTACATAAATATTGCCAATGGCTTGATAAATGAGATAAAACCGCAATCAGTCTGTGCACCATCTGAGCAACTGCTGCACCTAATTAAATTAGGTAAGCTAGAATAAAAAAAATCATAAAAAGTTCAGTTTCTAGATCTGTAGTTAAATCCGTTTGGGGTAGGAGTTTAATGTTACTGAGAGTACTTGGGTAATGCAAAGCTTAAGTTTAGCGGTACCATAACGTTTTCATGTGTATTTGTTCTCTTGATATGCACTGGATGCAAAACAGATCAGTGACTGTTGGCAAAATCTGTTTGTTTGAACTTCTGTAGCGTGTGAGATTACCTGTCCAGGGTCCTGGGTGACTGACAACTTTCTAAAAATGTGCTTCAGTAAACAGGATCATTGAGTCTGCAGAAGTAATAGAAGTAGGGTGAGCCTCACAGTTCTCTGTCAATGGTAGAAAAATTTTCAATATCATTCTCACTGAAAGCGTAGGAAAGGAACTAAGCCCTTCCATAGGCCATGTTCATTAGCCTTTATATACTGGTCTCATTAAAAATGAGCTTCATGTTCTAGGGCCTCAGCAAGGGTACAGTCTATTTTCTCTCTCTCTCTCTCTCTCTCTCTCTCTGAGAGTACATCTGTGCCATAGTATATAGTCAAAATACCTGAGCTGCTGTTAAAACAAGAGGCCTGGACATAGCTGCATGTGTTCTGTGTATTGTAATTGAACTGGTTCTGCTGCCTGAACTAGTTGAGCTCCAAGGGTTTAAATATATGAAGCTTTATATCTGTCTGGAATAAGAATACAAGAGTCATTTTGTAGATGAAAGCAATGAAAACTTTTCTATCACCTGTGATAGGTTGATGAGCACAGTTAGGCACATAGCTGAAAATTCTTGCATCCTGCCTTATTACGAGTTCCAGTGCTGAACTGTCTTTATCCTGTAGATGCATGATGGAAATCAAAAAGTTAAATCTGAAGGGTGGGTGCGAACAGAAGTAATGATTTTTATTAGCAATGCTGAGGTGGTTTGTGGGATGGGTTTTTTTCCCCTCGATCCAGTAAAACAAAAATCTAAAAGGCTTAGTAAATGCTGCCGTTTTTAACTTTAAATCTCATGTAAGAGTGTTGAGATTTGATTCTCCGTTCTGTAGAAAAGCTTGCAATAGGTCTGTCCAGGGCTTCCCAAAGTGATTATTAGTGCATTTATCAGTACTTACTATAATATTATATTTGCTGGTTGTATTTCCAGGGTTAAAATTACAAAGCTAAAATTGCTAGAGCGTGTTGTGCTCTAGTGTAGCCAAGTTAGCTCTCATTTCTCGTGAGAAGTGTTGCTGTATAATGTGTTCTGCTAGCCTGGCTTTGTTGAGTAGGAGCTTATCTCTTCTAACACCTGCCTCGTATACATGTTAGAGAAATCTGTAGCACAGATCTGGCCACAGCCTATCCATCTATGGGGAAAGTTAGCATATTTTAAGTACATCAACTTCTCTCTTTTCAGGAATGGAGAACGATGACAGTGCTGTTCAATATGCAATTGGGCGGTCCGATACAGTAGCTCCAGGCACAGGAATTGACTTAGAATTTGATGCAGATGTACAGACCATGTCTCCTGAGGCTTCTGAATACGAAACTTGTTATGTCACGTCTCATAAAGGACCATGTCGTGTAGCTACATATAGCAGAGATGGACAGTTAATAGCTACAGGATCAGCTGATGCCTCAATAAAAATTCTTGATACAGAGAGAATGTTGGCCAAAAGTGCTATGCCTATTGAGGTAAAATATCACTTGAATCATAGCTACTTGGTGAATTTTTGAAGTGTTGTGACTTATGGTTGGCCCAGTGGGTTGGACCAAATGTGTGCTCACCATATTTCCTATTCCAACAGCAGCTCATAAAGTATCCTTGAAGAAAAGGACCAAGAAATAGGGCAAGTATACTTGTGTGATTTCTGGCAGCTGTCTAGAGTATTGAGCCAGAAATTGCTTCTAGACACTTCTTCTAATACTTGTTGATAATTGCTGTCTTGTGTGAACACAGTTTATTTTTGAACCCACTTACATTTTTGACCTTTACAGCCTCCAGTGGCTGTGTGTTTCGCAGCTTACTGTTTCACAGAATTCATATTTATTCATGTTCACTTTTTTCTAATAAAGTTATCAGGTAGCAATTTAGAAGGTGAGGTTTTTTGGCTTAGATACATACCAAATGATCAGCAGTATCCCATGTGAATAAAAGTTGCAGTTTTCCCACTTGTTACAGCTTCCCTTAATTTTCACAGCAATACAGTGCTTTGATTTGGACTGTTGAGGATGAGGGTGATGTTTGGTACCCTTGAACTGTGTTTTCTTGTGTCAGTTCTTTGTTACTGACGCTAGTTTGGACAAGTCAATCTTTGTTATCAAATAACATCCCTGTGTCTTTACAGTGGGTCGTGGGTCTTCAAATAATTAAGACAATCGCTACAGATTGTTTGCCTGCTTATATGTCAGAAAGATAGCTGGGTTTGGCCACTCAAGCATATACTAAACCTGCATTTCCTGTCAGAAGTATGTTCTGCCTTCTAGGACTAACTTGTTGAATGTTGTTTGTAGGTCATGATGAACGAGACAGCACAGCAGAACATGGAAAATCACCCTGTTATTCGAACTCTATATGATCATGTGGATGAAGTTACGTGTTTAGCTTTTCATCCAACAGAACAGATTCTAGCATCTGGTTCAAGGGACTACACGCTTAAATTGTTTGACTATTCAAAGCCTTCTGCCAAAAGAGCCTTCAAATACATACAGGTTAGATATAATAGTCCTGTTCAGAACAACTGAAGCTTAAATCTGTAAACACTGAGGTATCAGTGGCCAAACTGTGTCTGATTTTTATATATGGTTAGGTAAGCGGGAGTATGCGATTACGGAACTTGCAGGCATTGTGGTAATTGCATGTTAAGAGTTTGTGCATAGTAGATAACTTATAGTCTTTAAAAATCTAGTGCCTGTTTGTTTTTTGTTACTCTAGACCTAATGTGATATTGATAATTTTAAGTCAGTTATATTATCTTGGTTTTGGAGGAGGGTTTGGAATTATGTGGGGGAGGGAGGGGGGCTGAGGAATGTGACTGGCTGACAGAACCTCCTCTCACTGTTGTATTATCCCTAAAATGAGTGGGCACTGCAAGCTGCTCAAAGACAAAAACTATGATGCTCTTAAATGTTTTCTCTCAGTTTGATCCTATAGGAAGTATTTTTTATTTTGTGCAGAACATAAAACATTATGCTAATGGGTAACTTAACTCATGGTTTAGCCCTTAACTTCATCAGAACTGACATTTCTTCACAGTTTTTTTTTCTTACTGATGCTGACTATGTGTTTTTTGACCCAACAGGAGGCAGAGATGTTACGCTCAATCTCTTTTCATCCTTCTGGAGATTTCATACTTGTTGGTACCCAGCACCCTACCTTACGCCTTTATGATATCAATACTTTTCAGTGTTTTGTGTCTTGCAATCCTCAAGATCAGCATACTGATGCTATATGTTCAGTAAACTACAACGCAAGTGCGAACATGTACGTGACAGGAAGCAAGGATGGATGCATCAAACTGTGGGATGGTGTTTCAAATCGCTGTATCACTACTTTTGAGAAGGCACATGATGGAGCTGAAGTCTGTTCTGCTATTTTTTCCAAAAATTCAAAATATATCTTGTCAAGTGGAAAAGACTCTGTAGCTAAACTGTGGGAGATATCCACTGGTCGAACCCTGGTCAAATATACAGGTATGTGACAGGTGACCTTCCAAGTACCTTCTTTGCCAGATACCAACCAATGAAGGGATGGTATTGTCAGAAGAATTAAGTCTGTAACTGCTGAAAAGTAAATTACATCTGGAAGAGAAGCAATGATTGTTGTATGTCAGCCAGTGTCATAAACTATTTAGTCTAGGTGGATTTACTTCGTTGTTTTCAAAGGAAACTTACCTTTAAAAATATGAAAAGTAAAAAAGGAATATGAATAGCCTATAATGATCAGGACATCTGTGCAAAGGGATTTGTTCTTTAGCAGCATCACTTTCCTTGCTTGTGATCATTCGTTTTGATTTTTGTTGTCGTCCTATTCATGGCTAGGCTGTGGGGCACAGCTTCAACTGAAAGGGTCAAAAGTGGCCTCATACGCTTCTGGCTAGAGTAGGCCACTTGCCTGGGAGGTACCCCAGACTAAGGGGGAATTGAACATGCCTTCAAAGAGTTGTTTTAACCGTTAGTCTAGAGTTCAAAAGATGGGTCCAGTAAGCCATGGAAACATTCTGAAAAATGGCTACATCTGTACTTTTTTGAAGGATGCGATTGTGTGCACGGTAAGCGTACTTAGAGCATGCTGACCGTATGATGCTTTGGCCTCAGCAAGACTTAGCAACTGATGAGGGTTATGAAAACTTTGCACGTAACAGCAGCTGTGTGAATGAAAAAGCTATTGGATTGAACAGTAATGTGCTTAAATATTACTAGACATAGTGGTAGTAGATAAGATGAGAATATGTTGAAAATTTGTATCTCATCTTTTGGGACCAGTGTGTAGGGTACTCTATGTATGCTAGCTGTGTTTTGCTCTCAACCAGCAGGGTGCAGCAGCTCCTTAATAAACCTTGCAAAATACCAGGTAGGACGCTGCTATGTTCCTTGCCAAAGACATAGCTACATATGAAACACAAATGCTAAAATTTGAAGGGTGCAGAGTGGAGGTATGACCAAGCTAGGTCATACAATGTGACACACACACACACACGAACCAGTGTTGTCATTGATCATGAGAATCCATATGTTCTACTAACAGTGGTCCTTCACGTTAGTTTTGGCTGCGAGCCTTGTACAAAAAATGAATGTAAAACTGCTCTTCCAGCTAACTGTTTGTACTCAAACTGTGAATGGTGTGCCTTGATCTGCACAGCTGGAGTGGTTGAATCTGTCCTGTCCTCTAGGAAATTCTAGAGTATACTGTGTGTGTATATAACTACAGAACAGTATTTCTAGTTGACTGTTCTGTGCACAATTCTAACTGAGAAAATAAGTCTCTTTAGAATGTAGCAATGGTATCTATGGGAGGTTTACTTTTAGGTCTTTGAAAATTTCTTAAAACTGACCCTATTTGGGATCATATTTTACTGCATACATTTAATGAATTTTTGCATCCTTTTCACAGGAGCTGGTTTGAGTGGACGACAAGTACATAGGACACAGGCTGTCTTCAACCATACAGAGGACTATGTGCTGCTTCCAGATGAAAGGACCATAAGTCTCTGCTGCTGGGATTCAAGAACTGCTGAACGGAGAAATCTTCTTTCTCTTGGGCACAACAGCATCGTCCGTTGTATTGTTCACTCTCCTACCAACCCTGGTTTCATGACCTGCAGTGATGACTACAGAGCTAGATTTTGGTACAGAAGGTCAACCACAGACTAAAGACACCTTTATGAAACAGTGATTATCCAGATTCATTATATCATCTTGTATTGATTGTACTGCCAACAGATGCCTAGATGAGAGCCATGCTGTGTCTGTTTTTTAATTCTGTCAAATGCGACAGAAAAATACCAGAATACTGAGACTTGAGTTTTCGCCCCACACTAATTTTTTTTATTAGTGTGCGTATGGCATTAATTTTTTTTAAGTCATCTCTAGTTGTACTCAAGGGAGGGGAAGGGGGAATAAAATGATCCTTGCAAGAAGGATTAAACTTGTTCTCCTATCTCTAAATCCTGTGAAAGATAATGTGACTGAATCTTGCTCAAACTGGGCAGAATGAGCCAGTTTTGCTCTGCATTGTATCTGTGCAATCCCACTGAGGTCTGTTTAAAGAATGGATTACACAAGTAACAGCAGAACTTGGCAAATACTTTAATGAAGCCTTAAGCTGCCTTCAGTTCTGATTCATGCTTTGTAAAGCTCTATTTTGTATCTTTTTAGTCTGTTTTTTGGTGGGGTTTTTGTTTTTTGTTTTGTTTTTTAATTGGCTAAGTGGACCTTCAATTCTGAGCCAGTCTTGTGCCACAAGAATTTGAAACACAATTTTAAATGGTTTAGATGAATTCCAGAAATGGTGTTCTAGTTCTGATATTAAAGCTCAGACCTGAAATCTTGTCTTTCATTTGAATTTATCTTAACAAGTGCAACTTCAAAGGAAGCTCACGGTATTTTCAAGGAATAGCCACACTGCAACTGTAAAAGGCTGGTGTGGCAGTGCCGCGCCGTGTGAAGATGACAAGAATAGTTTTGCCATAGAGACCTACAGTATCCCCGCAAAGAAATAAATTGTTGCGCGTTTTGATTTTTGTGTATGTACCTCAGCAATGTCATTTCATTTTATTTAGAAATTTTTATTCTGTAGTTGCTCTGTATTCAAGAGCACTTGAATGACATTCTTTTTTTGATTCAAAAATCCAAAACAGTTCTATTTATTTGTAATAGTCCAAGTTTCCCAGACATCATATTCAGCAGATGTACAGATTAAGATCCTCTGTGCTTAAGCCTTCTGTAAATTTGAAAATTCACTACTGCTCACAGATTATCTTGCCTGTGCTAGGCTTCAAATATGTTCTTTCAAGCATTCGGTCTGTGGCTCCAGTGATACAGTACTCCTGGGCTTCACAGTTGGGAGACTTTCTTCGGTCACAAGCTCAGCACTTGCTTTCGTTAGTATTTTCAAATATTAGATTGTTCTTACTGATGAATTAACTTTCCATTGTCACTGATGAAGTATCTTGTCAAGGGCTGAAAAGGGTAAGGTTTTGTCTGTATTTAAATAAAATTACCTTTTAAAAAGTTATTTAATATACAAAGAAGGAATTGTATTAGTTTTCTATATAACAAAAGGCAAGCGAATTAAATATCGGAAGGATCTCTTTTGGGAATGTGTTATAGCTTGATGAGTCGGTCTGTTGCATTGCATGTGAACCTGAAATAACTAGAGTTACGGTTTGGAATGTAAATGTTCTTGTTTTGTTTTTTTCAGGTAGAGAATGCAGTTTAATTTTCTCTTAATTTGTTCTGCACAGCAATAACTTTTCCTTAGAAATCTTCTTCCCTGCCTCCCTCCCTTCCCCTGTTGTTTCCCTGCCTGCCAAATTTTTAGAAGTGTGGGAGAGAAGAGATAGTGGTTTATGTGGCTTTTCTGGTAGAGAAGGAAGGAGAGCAGGGAGAGGCAGGGCTTTGTGGGAGGGAAAAGGGAAGTCCTGCAACACGGTTATTAATGCCTGGTGAATTAGCTCAGTAATCCCAGACCTCTAGTAGAGTCAGCCTGCTAAATTGATAGCAGTGGTAGTTTTTACTAGGCTCCTGCCTTCTTTTCTTCTTTAATTCTGTTAAAGACGCTGCCCATAGGTAACTCATTTGCTACTGTTACCTGGACTTGTTTATTTTTAAAATATAACTTGGAGGTTTATTTATTAAATGACTGCTGTAACTGATAAGATAGCAACCTACTAGCTTTCACCTCGTGCTTTCTTAGGTCTACGGTCTTTTAACTTGTAACATAAAAGTAGAAGCTTGTTCCTTAAAGCAAAAACATACTGAAGTGAACCCTTTTCTTTTCATATTGTGTATCGTGTTGGTTGAGGCCAGGGGCTTCGGTCTGGGGAGGGAATTGTTCAAGGAAATAAAGACAGGAAAATACTTACATGGGATAAGTAAGTTGATAATGCAATCACAGAGTAAAATACTTTCGGAGCGCAAAATCCCGGTGGCGTTATGTGATGCCTGGAGGTGATTGATCTGGGATGAGAATGAGAAGACAAGTTTGCTATATAAAAAGACAGTGTTCAGAGCAAGCATGCTTTGGAAGTACTGTGAAGCGGAGCTACAGCTGCATCTTGAAGAACACACCTAGTCTTTTTGTTAGATCTGCACTTGATTGAAGGGGAACTTGTCTTTCAGTGTACAAATCTGGAGGAATCTACATACATGTTCTTTATGTGATAGATAAGACTTACTGGTCAGAGAGGCTTCACACCTAGAAGCTATATTTGATGCTCTTGGCATGTAGATGGCTACAGGTGTCACCAGTGGTTAGGGAAGAGAGGGATGCAGAAATCTGAGATGAATGGGAGCAAGAAGGGGCTGATGAATGGGAGCAAGAAGGGGCTGCTGTTTTCCTTCTCATATCTTATCTTCCCGACTATAAGGGGACTAGAAGACTGAAGCCATGTATGAAGTCAAGAGAAAGCAGAGTGTACAGTTGTGTGTGTGTGTTTTTTTTTAATCAGAGTGTACAGTTGTGTGTGTGTGTTTAACCACTTTTGGTGGTTAGTGTCCTTTTTCTCATACTGGATGCTTTTATAAAGGGAAGGCAGAATGAGATGGTATATTTCCAATTCCCACCAGAAGGCCTAAGGTTTGGTGTAGGTTGTTCTTGTTAAGATACCTCTTTCAGGGGGACTTTACTTACTTTGCTTACAGTAGAGAGTTACACTTCTACAATCCTTAGCATGGGTATGATTCCATCTTTAAGCAATACTATTGTAATTGCGTGTTAGCTGCTGCAGAGGAGGAAAAATGAAGTGCGTTTAGCTGCAAGATATTTGTATTGATTGATCAAAATGTAGGTAATTGCAATAATGTGCTTTGCTTTTCACAGTAAGAATAAGAGATTGGCCAAGCTTGTTACCTTGCTCCATAGCTTAGGCAGGTAGTTCAAAAAATACTTCCCATCCTGCCTTTGAACAAACACACTCAGAGGTAAAGTCCAGACAAACTGACCTGCACCTTTTCAGAAACACTATTTGTTGTTACACTATTTGTTGTTACCCTTGTGCTATAAGCATCTATTAAAATAGCCCCTAAAAAAACGAACAAAAACAAACAAAAACCTGCTCCAAAATTTGGATTGGTCTTAGAGTGAGTTTTGGAAAGATCAAACGATGACAACTGTTTCTAGTGCTCTTTCTAGTCTTTGTAGGATAGTACAAGTGTCTGCTGAACTCATCACTGCTGTGAAGCAGCTTTGATAGTGTCTTTGGATCATGGATCTTACTAACAGCCTCAGAACAGCTCTGTTTATCTGAACAAAAACAAGAACAGCCAAACCTTGCAACTACAGTACTGACCTTTCAGGTGGTCTGTATTGGAATTGCTCTTCCTTGAAATACTCTGAGTAGCGTTAAGCAAGCCTCAACCTTTTGGAATAATATAGCTGGTGAAGAGAGCATCTTTGCCACTGACTTCTGTGATAATAGAGAGCAAACCTGGTAAACCTCTTCAGATGAAGCATCTTTTTCTGGATGTTTTAGAAGCGTGTCCTGTTCCCAAATCTGCATTTCCTCCCTGAGCAGTTCAGTGGCATTCTAAAGAGGGTTCCACAAGATAGGGGAGGAAGGGATTCGGGGGTTGTAGGAAAGATTTATCCTGTCACTAATAAATGTTCCTCAGTACTCTTAAGAGAATGAAGAGCGTTATAGGATGGAGCCAGCTGTCTCCTCAAGCTATGAGATGTATGTGTATATTAAATATACTTAGTCGCTAGCCCTGTACCTTTGATTTTCAGATGTTCTGTTGTTATATCCTTCCAGAGTCTTTCTTTTGAGGCCAATAACTTTTCAATTCTACTGTTTTAAGCTCTTTGTTCCTCAAAGCTTAAGGTCAGCTCTGCTTCCCGGTTAAAGAGGAAGCAAATGTGTAAGCAAGCCTTTGTAAAACAGACCTCTTGCCCAAGGCCATCAGCTGTCAAGGGCTTTGAGCATCTGATAAAGACAGTAGTAACCCATTGCCCTTCGAAGAAAGAGTGATCTTCTATTAGGCAACAGCTTTGACTCCCCTGTGAGGGTGCTAGTTGAATGATAAACATCGCTCTTCCATCTTTTTCTTAGTTTTGACACGCCTTCATTTTACAAAGAAACATCTGGCCAGCCATTCAGGTTCTCATCTCTTTAGTCCTTCTGCACTATGGAAGGCAATTGCTGATTAGTAATTGTAGCCACCCAGCTGAGGAAACTAGGAAACAAGGCTTGCTCATGTTCTGATGATGGGCTTTTTCAAGACTTCAAAATGCCTATCTGTTTGCCTTCTTGGACCGCTGGCTTGAAAGTAGACAGAGAAACATCCCCTGGATTTTACCTGTTCTTCGCGCAGGGGTGGTTTGAAATTAGTTTCTACTGATCAAATAAAATTCCAGTGCACCTGCTTGCCCGTCATCAGTTTTGTCATCTGTACCTCTTGGTACCCTAGCAAGCTCCTCCGCTCAGGGAAGCACGTTCGCATTCAGGATTTATTATCTGCTCAGGAACGTTTCCTTAACCTGTCAGATGTATCCATCTAACATGTAAACTCTTCTTGCCACTACTCAGAAGAGACTGTCATGGAAAAGCGTTGAGGTCGTTTGACAGCTCAAGCGTTAGCTCAGCAAACCATGCCTATCTAAAAGCAAAACACCTTTGAGGACAAATCATAATCACGGTTTTGTATCTTTTTGGCCTTTGGGATTCTTTGACACAGTGACTTGACAGCCTTGTAACTGGCACACAGATCTAGGGAAGGTCTTTCCTAAATGGGCACTTGTGCAATTAGACTTGTTTACCACCAACAGAAAGAAATTTCAAACTTTCTACCTAAGAAGGGTACTGGTCTGGGACATACGTTTTTCTCATTTCCTGGACACAGAGGTCATCTGTCCACCAGAGCTGCCCTGGGATACTGTGAATCCTGATAAAAAAAAATGAAATGCAATAAACCAGATGATCGTCGTCCAGGTTAGGAAGTTCTGGCATGTGGCTGTGATGGACCCTCCAAGCGAGCTGCACCGCAATTGCTCCACCTAACGAGCATAGTGCTGCAAACTGCATTTACAGCCCACACCTAGTTTGTGTGTGTTTAAGCCTTGATGCAGCTTGAGGGAGTCTTTTGTAGTGAATGCAGCCCCAGATATACAGGGTAAAACGTAAAATTTCTGTCATTTCACAAAGCCCCTTCTTTCCATAACAAAAAATTGTATAGGGTGTTTTAAATGGTGAGACAGCTTTGAAAGACATTAAAAATTTTGCCTTAGAAATCCTGAATTAATATGATTGTGGCAGTCTTATTTCTATCAAGCATTGTGCAGCCTCTTGTGGTACGTAGTATTCCTGCAGTCACTACATTTCTAAAATAGGAAATACAGGAACATGTAGCAAAACAGAAGGGTGAGACTTCTGAGTGTGGTTAATTGCGACAAGTTGGTGACAGAGAGATCAAGGAAGATTCCGCTTGCAGGCAGACTTTCTTCTCAGTGCTAGACACCATTAGGGTTTTTCTGGTTTATTTTCTTTTTAATCTTATCTGTTGTCGCAGAAACTGTCTTTCATGAGAGTCTTTTGTACAACTTCCTAAATGCTTTTAAGGGTATAGCTGTCAGATGTGTTTTCTTGAGAAATAGTTCCTGACACACTGTGACTGTACAAAACTGAGCCCTCTTTACCCAGTAGTAGTAATCTGCATTGCTCAAAGTGACGCTGCTGGTGAAAGACAACAATGGACAAAACCAGAAGAATCGACAGAACTGCAAAGGTATGTCTAGTTTTCAAGTACAGCACATAAACGATTAAAAAAAAGTCCTAGTGTAGGTTTGATGTTTTGAATTCAAAATGATGCTTGGTGGTATTGGAAATGTTTGGTATTCTAATCCTGAAGTGGAAGGAAGGTTTGTTAGGATGCTAATGCGCCTGATGTACCTCTGTGCTTTTTGTTGTGACAAAATCGTTAACTACAGGAAATGCCTTTTTGGAAAGGACTCTGAATAAAGTAGGATTCTCAAATAGTAAACACCTGTGAATAAACAAATTTGTGAAATAATAAACATATACTTCCAAGGTTCCATCTGCCTTACTGCCATCCAGTAGTAACATTTGATATGTGATTATATTGTCAGAGACTTACAGCAGTAGTCCAGGTGACCTATTTGCAGAGAACTTTCTTACATAAGAAATCAAACAGTAGAAAGTACTGTTTTGTTTGTTTCAAAAGACTGCAACTGGTTTATAAGTTTTTTGAATTTATTCATTTATTCTTATTGCATCTAATATAATTTCATATACATATATGGATAAATTAACTTGCTGGAGCTGTAAGGGCCAGAGAATGCTGAAGTCTTGTCTCCTAATTCACTGCTTTGTTTCTCCTGCTGTCTGCAAGCTTCGTAAGCAGCGTAATAGAATTATTTTTTTCATCTTGGATTATCATCTCAATATTTACTGTAAATAAACTGCTGGCTGGAAATGTGAAACAAAATATAGTGGAAAAAAGGTTAGTCTCAGCTTGATGAGCCATTTAACATTTTCCACTGAGGTTTGTAAAGATAAGAGGACAATTTTTCATGTTAAGTCAGCAGAAACTGATGGAAAACATTTTTCACCTCTATTCCAGAGAAGAGAGTATTTTTTCAGTTTTCTTAAGTGGCTTGCTGACGTTTAAATAAATGTAATGGTAGCAACCTGATCTCCAGTCCTGCTCTGAGATCCTTAGGCACAGCCACAGCACACAGGGGAAATAACAACTGGAAAAGTCAAGTTTCTTTCTGCTATATCATTCATGAGCTGTTTATAAGGTTCCCACTATCCTAGCATCAGTATATTACTGTTTATCGTAATAGCTGAATGCTGTACTTAATACACAAATACTAAGGATGTGTTTTTTTGTAGTATCTGGACTTCTTGAAGCACCGTGTACCAACCATCAGTAGCTTTGCTATGACAAGTAACACTTTGCAATTCTTGCTGTGCTCCAACTGTTCCATCTTTGCAAGATAAATTCTTTCTGAAAATGAATTCAGTGTATGATTGCACCCAGAAAAATGACATTATTTCTTCGTTATTGTGTATGTGCCAGTGACAAAGTCTGCACAGGAAATATTGCATGTCTGGGTGCAATTTAAAGCACGGTTACAGAACATGCGCGGGAAACACTTCTCTTACTGTTTGACTGTGCTGTTACCAAAAGAAAAACAGGAGCATGTCTTAACTACAGATTAAGTTGGTCTGAAATTTGTCTCTTTTTCCCAAATGCCCAGCTTACATATTCTGGTCTTGTCCATGCACAAGTGCATGAACAACAGTCTTTCCACACAGTCTTCCAGTATTCAGCATCGGTAAAGGCTTCTGGTGGACTATTGTGTGAAGTTTGCCACGTCTCCAGAAAAGATACGGACATGTTGGAGGAAGTCAAGATCAGGGCAATGAGAATAGTCAGAGAAATGAAAAACAGGGCTTACAGGGAAAGGGTGAAAGGACTGGGATTTCACAGCCTAGAGAAGAGAAGATTGGAGGGAGTCACAGTGTTCAAACACATAAACAGCTGCTGTAGAATATGAAAGGAGCAGGTTGTTCACTGTGTGACAGGGTAAGAAGAAATAGAATTTAAATTACAGCAAAAGCGATTCAGCTTAGATGACTGGAGAAAGAGCAAGGATAACAATAAGCAGATGCGAGATGTGAGATTTGTTTCTGTGAGCCCTGTCTGCCCTTGGGAATATGTCCGCCTGGAGCTAGTTGACTCAAAATGCCTACAGCTGTGCACCCAGACTCCACCTCAAATACCTGGGAGCAGGGTGTCTCAAAATAGGATTTGCAACAGTTAATGTATTGAGCAAGGAGGTACTTAAATAGCCAACAGGAAATGCTGGAGAGAATAGCGAAGTTTCCGTCTTTCTGGGCCTCAAATATTTAATTTGGGAATATTCCCAGGGAAGTCAGCTGGAAGTGAACTCAGTGCCCATCTTTCCCTGGGGAAATCTGAGAGGTAAAACTTCAGCTCTGTCATGGGCAAAACAGACTTGGCTCAGGGAATTTTTTCTTAATTTCATTTATTGTCAGTTAATACAAACTTACAATTGCTGATTTGGGTATTGAGAAAAAAAGAAAACATAAACAATAAGCAAACACTTAAATAAACACCTTTCCTCTCCCTTGCCCTGGCTCAGCTTAAGGCAAACGCTTCTCCTTCCCCATTCCTAGTCTCAGTTTGCTTTATTTTCACCACGTTACGCTCAGTCCACCCCAATTCCTCCAGGGAGGCGATGGATGGCGCAGGAGGTTGGGATCAGCATGTAATGGTCTGCCACCCTCCTGGGATTCATACTGCTTTTCCTCCCCTCCTTCATGCTTCTTACTGTCGCTGCTCCAGCATGGTTCCTTCATGGGCTGCAGCTTGCTGCTGGTGTTCCCATCCCGTGGAGGGTCACCCGTGGGCCGCAGTCCCTCCAGGGCAATGCATCCCTGAGGCATGGAGCACCTCCTGGCATGAGCGTGTCTCCTGTGAAGCATGTCCTCAACCATCTCTGCCTCCATGTGTCTCTTCCAGCATCTCCCACGTGTCTCCTTGCATGTCTCCTCACATGTCCTCTCCCACTGAGCCTTCCACTCTTTCTTTAATGTGTTTGAGCAGAGATGTCCCATGCTTACTCGCCTGGCTGACGTTCTGGCGCGCGATGGCACCACTGCAGGCCCTTGGTTGCCAAGTCCTGCCACATGTGCCCGGCTCTGTACCTGTGCATGTACTGCTTGGGTGCTCATGCTTGAATTAGTTGGGTGCTCAGCATGAACTAATGGGGCATTCATGCATGCATGCTGGAAGCCCTGCAATTTATACCCAATTCAAGCTCCAAAGACTTTGAGGGTTATACTCTTGGACTAGCTGCCTAAATTTAGGGGGAGTGGTAGGGATTTGGACTGTAGTATTTAGAATTTGGGCTGGTACCTGCTCGCCTTTATCTCCTAGGTGTGCCGAAGGCCAGACGCTCTCCATCTTCTGCGGTGCAATGTCTCTGAGCTATGGCCATGGTGCTTTGATGGGGCTGGCAGTGGGGTCGGGTGGATCCATGGCTGCAAGGACGAGTGCTGCAACCCCGGGTGGCGAGGGGCATTCGCTTCGCCACATTGCAATGCCTAGCTGTCACCAATTTGATGGATCACCCAAAAGCGGTCTTGTGACCGTCTTGTGACCTCTAGTTGCAGCCTTGCTACTTGTATTTCTAGACTGTTACAAATGCTGGTAGCACCTTACAGATTTCAGGGTAGTAAATTAACGGTTGTTCTTTATCCATTGCATGATGTGGAGTGTTCACACTAGTAAAAGTGCTGGCTGTAATCATAAGAAAAAAGAAAACAAACAACATCAGAAGGCATTCAAATGAATTGCCTAGTGCCAGGTAGTTTTCTGCGTTTGGACAAATGTATTAGCTGTTTGTCTGTTCCTAGCCTGTCCAGTTGTGCAGACTTTGTTGAGAAAGCATTTTCAATTCAATATTTTCTATTCAAGATACATTCCTTTTCTGCTTACTTGATTGTGGGTTTGGGAGCATGCCTAATTTCATCCTGAAGCTACTACAGAAAGAGGAAGGAAAACACTGTAGCTAGAGAAAAGGCAGGATGAGTAGGGCAAAACCTGCCAGTGACAGTGTGCAAAAGCAAAGATATTAAAAAGTAAAGAAGCAGTATAATCTGCCCATTTATATAAGCACAACCTTGGCAGAGCTGTTGTTGAGCAGATAGCAACAAAAACAACAATAATATTAAACAATATTATTGTTTGATAGTATTAAACAATTTTTTTTAATTAAATAATTTAAAAACAAAATCCATTACCTGCAGTTAATGTTTAGCTTTCCTCTCAGGTTCTGTGCCTTTAAACTAGGGGATTCTTTTGCAGTGGTTTATGCAACTACAAAGAAGACCTGTTATTTTCTAGAGAATTTAATATAAAAAGGTCAAAGCATAAGACCAAACCACTTTTAGGGAGGAAAAGTGAGGAGCAAAAAATGATGCCGCAAAGGCTGTGAATATGCCTCAAAATCCAAGAAAACCATGTTCTTGGCGCCGTATTTTCCATGCTGAGATGTAGCTATAAAACACAGACGGCATCCCCCATGGCTCTCGGCTCCGGGGACATCTGTGCGTCCCTGTGCCAGGCCCTCATTTGCATCAGCAGCTGCAGGCCAGTTGCACCGCGGGGATGATTGTGCTGCGTAATTAGCTCCGTTCGGTCCCAATAGCTGTTGTCCTCTGGGGCTCCCAGCAAACGCGGCGCAGGGGGAAGGAGGCTGGACGTTCGCTCTGCAGGCGTCCAGCCAGACCCTCGCGC